GATTGCCACTTCTCCATGGCCTTTTCCTTCAGGGCTATTAGTGTCAAACTTTATTTATGTATTACTAGGACTGATGTGCCATGTCAATCACAGAAATGTTGCAGGTTTAATAGAACAAGAGCCCACCTTCTGAAATCTCAAATACATAGGTGGCTCCAAAGCCTTTCGAAAAGTTGCAAACAAATTGTAATTATTAATGTGACAGAAAATGATTAAATGCATAGGTAATTAGACAGGAATTCAATGTAATTTACTTTTTGTTCTGAATTCATCCACTTCTTTGCCTAATTTTTTTAAGAGCAGCCCTTAGTGCCCTCATCAAAGCCAAATAGTGTCCGGCCTGAAATAAGTTTTGCATCTCCATTATTGATGGAGATAATCATGGAGGAGGAGATCTGTTTGTAATCCTTCCTGATACTTATTTCCTTATTCCCACATAAACCAGTGTCTTACTGGAGAACATGGCAGTAGTTTGCATGCTGCTTCTGGTGCCTGTATATGTACACGAGAGAAAGAAATCTTATGGTAACAGATGTTGGTCTTTCAGATACATTGCCATAAGATCTCTTTGAAAACTGGATTTGGAGAACTGACATGATAGGCAAACTACAGCTTAAGCAAACCCAAGTCTGCAACATTCAAAGGAAATTGCAAAATATAGTTTGTCACGTATTTGCACCAGAAAGTTCTCTTCTCCTTGTGTATTAGAAATTTGGACCTTGAGTTGTTGAGTTGCATATGACCAGCATGTCCTCCCCACCTCCTAACATAATCAGGAATCTTTCTGGATCTATCACTATTCAGAGACAGACCACAATACTCCTTCATTTAATTTAAATCCTGCTATTTGGTAACCTACCCAAAGCCTGGAGTTCTTTCAAACTTTCCCACTCATACTCCATTTGCTCAGGGAAAGATAAATTGAGAGTATAATTTGCCACATCTATGGAAGCCATGGAGTGGTACCTATTCTTAAGACATTCTTAATGTGAATGTTGAAATTTCCACTCAATCAGTCTGATGGGACTCCTCTATCAATTAAGGCAAACACACTGGTAGGTGATGAAGTGGGTGAAATATCCAGAGAATCTCACTCATCTTAATGTTTCATTAACAGGTACATCCAATCACATTTTGAAACAACCAACGTAGTCTTGCTTCAGTTGTAGCCAACTCTTACACCTTCATTGTACTACTGGTAACTGACAACATTTTCGAAAGTGGTTTGCCATTGCGTTCCTCCTAGGGCTGAGAGAGAGGAACTGGCCCAGTCACCCATCTGGATTTCATGTCTAAAGTAGGACTGGAACTCAGGTTTCTCTACTCCTAGTCCAGCACCTTAACCACTGGACCAAACTGGCTCTCTTGGACCAGAGTAGGCCCCTATTCAATGTCCTCATAATCAGAGGTGGCTGTGAAAAAATATGGCTGATCCTCTAAGAAGAGTGTTGCCCTTCCTAAATGCTAATAATTTTCATCTTCTCCAAATATTTCCACTTAAGGTTTGTGAAAATTCAAGATGCCTACTGCCCAAAAACCAGCTGTTTCAAACAGTCCCATTGTCTTGCTCCAAAACATTGTTTACCTGGGGTTTTGGAGACCTGGGCTCCAAAAATTCAGTCACAACATAACAACAAAGAGATAAATAAAACTCTAATTCTGCTGCCATGGTGATAACAGAGTGGTAGCCCAAATTTCTGCAGTCCAAATCTGGTAGCCTGTGTCTACCAATCTGCTGTTGTGAGGACAAAGAGGCAACAAACTGTTCTGCCAACTAGACCATCCTCTTTGTCAACACAGCTGGCTATAGAATTCTCAGGCTGAATTAGCCTAGTGTTAGCAATCCCAAATGAGCAATTCAGCTCTGCCAAAATCTCTTTTTTACTTTGAAAATTATTTTGGTGACTAATTCTGAACAGGAGAACTTCAATCCCGTGCTCTTTCATCTTATTGTTGCAAACTTAATTTTCTGGCATGTTCTGTGAAAGCTCTGCATAAACATACAAAGTTGGCATTGGTTGTTTAGGAAATACCGCCACTGTTGAAGTTGCTATTTTTCCTCTTTGTGATTCATGTCTTTAACCCTGGTGTTAGGCCCTTCACGCTTAAATATATGTATATAAATTATGCATAGAATGCCACTTTAGACCCTCTTCCTGCTGCATCCCGCTTTTCTTCAGTCTACCCATTTTAACTTTCATCCCCTTTCTGGTTCCCAACGCCCCATGCCCCTCCATACCTCAACCCCTTTCTTCCCTGTGCCACCAAACAAAGCAGCTCTTTGAACTGCTTTGCCATAGAAACCTAAATCTTGCCTCTTCTGACTCAGGGGGTCTTGGAGGGTGCTGAAAGGTTTCCTCATCAGAACCAACTCCATGTCATCAAATCCCACAGATACCAAATGAGACTTTTAATACATGAAGTGAAGGGGAAAAAATAACCAAACAATGCAAATCCCAGACTTTCCACATTTGCATTTTAATTGACTTGGGCTGCTGAATTATACATACACTTACATGTGGTGTGTGTGTGTGTGTGTGTGTGTGTGTGTGTGTATATATGGGATTTACTTCGAAGTAGATTTATGTGATAGTGTGCTATCAACTTCAGTTATTTCTAAAAAAACAGAATACTCGTATATACATGCAAACCAATCTGATCACCACTTTATTCATTCCATTCCATTTTTAAATTAAAGCAGTAGCAGCATTCAACCACTGACAGATGCTTTTCTTTCCCCACATTTATTTTTATGGTTTCTTCACCACTTTCTCTATAGCAGCCCCATCTCTTTTTCTACCTGCATTGCAGAGCTTTGACCACATGACTGTGGCCGCCCTCTTGACCTTTTTGACCATCCTGGGGACACCTCTGAGTCCCTTCACCTTATTTATGGCATTTTATAGAGGCAGTCCTAAAAGACTTCAGTTAGCTGAAAGGCTTTTATGAAATTATGGAGCACGTTTTTTCTAGCGCTCCAGAGAATAGGAACAATGAGTTAAAATGACAGCAGACAGGATTTTGAGCAAATATTATGAAGAATTGGTAGCAAGTCTAATAATGGAAAAGTCTAGTATAGTAGATTTCTGGTATCAGCAAAATGTGTAAATTATTTCAGGCATTCCTTGTAGTCTTATGGTAATAGCAAGTTCCTACCCCAAGGACCAAATATTATTATACATTCTCAGAACAAATTTCCATTCAGGATAGAGATCAGTAGAAAGAGAAGGCATTTGTGGAAAATCTCTCTGCCTGAAATAATATTTTTTAACCATTAAGGTCCATTTATTTCACAGTGAATGATTCATTTATTCTGGTTGCTGGACTTCAAGTCTTGAAATGTAAAGATTTATATAAAATCCATTCTTCACTAATGTGATGTCAATAATTTCCTACATACACACTTAAAATATTCATGCACAATTTTGCTTACCTTTCATTCAGGAATAGGCAGCTTAAGATCCATAAGGCTCACTGATTCTATTGGGTAAATATTTTATGTTTTTTAGAAAATGAGAAGTTGGCCTGGTACAAATCTGAGTGCTTGGATCCAAAATTATCTTTATTTCCAAGTATGATGGGGAGTCATATAAGTTTTATAGGCATTCTTAGATATTTTTTTTTTAATTGATGATTTTTACAGGCTAAAGTTTTACTAGAACTATGCCTACCTGCTTATGATATACACAATGAAAGAGGCCAGGTCAGAAGCATTGATTTTCACATTGCTAGGATACAATTTTGTTCTGCAAAAGAGTATTTTGTTAGAATACAGGGGCCCCTCTTCAACCCCCTCTGTCCGTTCTCCCCTTTCAGATTTTGCAGCTAAGTTGATACAAAAGGCTGAGGTAAGACCACTGGTAGCCATTCACAAACCAGAAGTAACTACAGGATGATGTTGATGGTGATGCAAATGGAGAAGTCAAGAAAAGAGGACAAGGTTATTTCATAAATGGAAAAGTGGGGTAAAGAACTAATGAGAGGGATGGACCATGGTATAAGAGGAAGAGATGATACTGCATCCTAACGTTTTAAAAATGGGAGATCCTTGTAACAATGAGGAAGAAGATTCAGCTCTTCACCTGGGTTGGACTATCCTGCTAATACTCACTTTTGCAAGGATCCGTCCTCCATCTAACCCTGCCTTTGGGAGGTCAATGAAGAACTAAGATTCCACAATGGATGGTAGACAACTTGAATGCCCCAAGAAGTTCTTAAGACCTTTCTCCCTGCCCTGCTTCCCTCTTCCTTCCTTCCTTCCTTCCTTCCTTCCTTCCTTCCTTCCTTCCTTTCCTTCCTATTAGGATGTTGACCTTCATCATCACTTACCAAACTTCAGATGCTGAATTTTGTAACCATTTATCAATCTAAATAGAAGAAACAATATCTGACCTGCTGTAGTAATCCACTATGCTTTAAGTAAAGAATCTGTTTAAAAAAATGTGGTTTGATTCTTAAGCCCCATAGAGTAGCTTATTTCAAAAACATAATGGGGTGTAATCTGGATGTATATGTGGCATGGCCATGCCAAAGAAACCCAGGGTCTGTGTGTTTGAGTCCAAGATAATTCTAATAGTCCCCATTCAATAAGCAGAATATTACCAATCCCTCAACAGCTGTGATAACTGATGGTTCTCAGTCAGCAGACAGAAGATCATCAATTCTTCTTTCATCTGAGCTTTCCTAAAGGGAAGACAACTGAAAGGTCCCAGCTGGGCACAAGACTGTCAGTCTCTTAGGGAATGGCATGACTGAAGATAGATGAAAGCAAACAGAGTCATCCTAGTTCAAGTTGAGCACAATACTTGCCCAGGGACAATTTTCACATTTTTCAAAGCAAATTCTACTTCATAAAAGAGGAAGCCTCACATGGATGCTCTTCTTAATAGGGCAACCTTAACATTAAACTTGGAAATTTCCAGCAATATCAGATACAAGTATGCTGTCTTTGTTGGCCTGTGGACAAGCTCCAACTTTAGATATCTTAGCAGTCCACTTACCTCTTTCTCCTGGTGTTCCAGGCTGACCAGGATTGCCAGGAAAACCTGGGCTTCCTGGAGACCCTTGCTCTCCCTGTGGTCCAGGTAATCCTTGCCGTCCTGGTTCACCAGGGGGCCCCGGGATAGTACGTGTTGAGACTGAGTTGCTTGGGATCTGATTTAAGATTGAACTGTATCTAGCCAGATGACCTGCAAAGCAGACACATCCAGAAAACATAAGCTTTATCTAAGAACTCTATCCTGATTGAGTTTTATGTTGATAAGAAGAATAAGGGGGACTCAATTCAAGAGTTATTGGGTTTGGCCCAATGAACTATACATAAATGCAATTTGTTTTAGAATGCACAAATACATCCAGTAAACCTACAATCATTACAACTATGAAAGTACAGAAGTTCTTGTACCCACCTTGGATAAGCTGTTCACACACCTGACGAGCTACTGCCCGTACCATTGCATGGGACTGAAGATCTCCCTGTACATTAAGGATATAGTGATACATCAGCTCCCATAAGAGATGCTGTAAGGTGCATAAAATACAGATGTTCCTCACATACAACCAATCTTTACCAACCTGGCATCTTCCAAAGTATTGAGAATACAACTTTCAATCCCCCTTTGGCCTCCTGGCAGTCCCAATCCACCTGGAGGGTACTGAACTGGGAAAAGGTTGGGGTTTCTTGGCAGCACAACCTAAGGATGTCTACTCACAAGTCCCACAGGATCTACTCCCACATAAAGACACATAGGACTGCCACCTACATATACTGGGGGGAAAAAAGCCTCCCAAAGTAGTACTTTATTCTAAAAATAAAGAAACTGTCTTTAAAATCTGTAATTAAGGCACTTACACGTTCACCTTTTTCGCCTTTTGCTCCAGGAAGTCCCTGGGTTGGAGAGGAGCACAAAATATAAAGTAAATAAGCACAGAATCTAATGTAAATAAGTTTCCCACCCCCTTCTTTGTGATCCGCGGGCCTTTTTAATGTGGCAACCTTGTAAGTCATAGGTTTTCAACCACACTGCACCAGTAGTTATTTAAGCAAGATGGGATTATACTTCCCAACGCACTTCAAAGACGACTGCAAAGTTTAGTAAAATTAGTTGTGGTGTGGTATCTTTGTGATGAGGTGTGATATGTTCATGAAAAGCTTTTGGCCATCTAGCTATTGGCTGAAATCTGGGTGAGAATGAAGATATCTGTGTATTCAGCAGCTTTGAAGAAGGGTCATATTCCAGGCAAAGTTTCATAGCAGATCCCCATACTTAGCAGTAGGATCTTTCAAACTCTGCTCTGATGGGGAACATACATAAAAAGACTTCTTGGAAGACAGCCATTGTTTTCATTCTAAGTCAAAGAAAAGAAATCAAACAGAGCTGTTTTAAATGTCTACAGAAGGCAAAGTAAATGTTACTTTAGCGGTGCAGTTACAAAACATGTAAGGGTTTCCAAAAGCATTTAGTTCTAGGTGCAGGGAGGCAAACTGCAGTGGAAGCTTTCTCAGCTCTGCTGGTGAAAATCTCCCACCCCATCCCACATTACAGTTAGCATCAGGGGGAAAAAGAGACTTTACAGTGATGACAACAGGACCTTCAAAAGCTAATCACATTATGGGGGAAGGGTGTGATTTTGGTGATTGTGGCTAGGAGGAAAAGTGAAACCTTTGCTCTCTGGACATATGGAAGATACTATTTTTCTTTGAAAAGGTGGTTTCCAATTTGGCTCTGAGGGGGTTAAAAGAATGTTCAGGTCTCCAGGAGAGATCACTTGACATATCACAATTGCAGGAAAACAACAGAACCAGTTTTGAACATAGTCATGGCACAAACAAGTCACTGGAGTTCTGTGTTGTCCTACCACATCATCATTTGTGTCTGCTTAAGAAAACATGTGCTTGATCGTTTAAAGAAATATTCTAGCTGCCATCATGCAAACATATTCATCATAATGTTTACTAGGACTTCCTGGCACAGTTGAGGAGGCCCATCCAATAAAGGCGGACCTACAAAATATTTACTGAACTACTCTGTTATATATCACAATATAATATGTAAATAGATTATTATTATTTCCTCTAATTATGATCCTACAGTGACCTCAAGGACTAATTAGGTGACCATTTTGGGGAAAAAATATCTGAATAGAGCATTAATTTTCCCTCTTATGAAAGGATCTCTGCATGTTTACAATCTAAATTAACTTATGCTAAAAAAATCACCTTAGAATACTTCCTACACCCAACAGTCTTCCCCCCCCCCCTTTTTAATTTATTCTTCAAATACTGGAAGCTGAAGAAAACTGGTAGAATAAATCAGATCAATGAAATATCCTCTTCAGTTTATAGATTCACTTGGCTTACAGGTCTGTTATTCCTGGCACTCCCTGCTGCTTCTTTTCCATCGACTGGATTAGTAGCAAAATCATTTAAGTCAAAGGAGTGTGGTAGAAAATTGAAATAAAAGCCTTAACACTTTTATATCATTTAGACCAGGCACGTGATGTACTTATTGAAAAGCTTGGTGACTCATCATAGATATATATACATACAGACATACAGGTACATGTATGCATACACACATACACACACATATACATAGAGTATGATGGACTTCTACTTACAGGTGGTCCAGCATCTCCTTGTGGGCCGACATTACCCGTAATTCCTGGGACACCTGGAGCACCAGGTATTCCCTGCATAGAAAGAACAAAGAAAACAAGTAACAGGAGTTCAGACATACTGGTTCTCTGTTTATACAGACTTGTGCTTTGCATCTTGGCTGACATTCTCCAACACCTTGGCTCAAGAATCCACTTTATTTCAGAAAAGACAGCAGATGAATCATGGTGAGGTTGTCTATGCACTTCCTCTACTCGTTCAATGAATGCAAGTTATTCCTGGAGAAGCACAGATAAAGGCCCATCCAAGTGCCAAGTTATTGTTCAGCAAGATGTTCCATAAGAGCATCAATAAATTGGTTGGTCCACAGACTTATTTGTCCCAGTGTGGAAGATTTTCCACCTGTCATCCATAATGAAACCTCTTATTCTGTATATCAGTGACTACTTGTTTATCAGATGGCCACTTCTGCATTGTCCATCCAATTAGATTCATTCAGGAATTTCCCATATTTTATTTCATTTCTCACAACCAAATCGCTTTGTTCTGCCCCCTCCTGATTATAACCTCAGAGCCACTAGCTGTGTTTACACTCCACAGTAAATCATAGTTTGTCTAAGGACACCTAGATGATTAGTCTTGCCATCCCCCAACCCTTCTGAACCCAGTTTAAAATGTACCCAAAATTGACCTGGGCTGTTTTGACTGTTTGCAGATATATTCCCTGACTTTCCTTCCTTACAGCTCTTACTATGATTACAGTAATCCAGGCAAAATAAAATGGGTGAAATTGGCCATGTTGACTAGATGGAAGTTTTTTTCCTGAAAGACTTGCTGGCTTGCCAGACTACTCCAGATTTTTGGTCTTGAGGGGTTTTTCCCCCAGTTGGAACGATGGTCTTGACATGGAAGTTCCATGGAAAAAACAGGGATATAGCAAGATTTCACAGAAATGAAGCCCTCAGTCATGACATCACTGACCACTGGGTGGATCATCGTGTGCCAAAGATGGAATTAAACCCTTGGAATAACTCCCGAAGCTTTGGAAATGACTCAAGGTTTGAGCTATCCGTGACCTTTTAAACACATGAAGTTCCTGACGCATTCATCATTTTTATTTTCTAAAATAGACCTCAGGGTTATCTAGAAGCATTTTTGGAAATAAAAATTATGCCAAAGACGTATAACTTTGTTTCACAGATAGTTTTCTATTTCTTAAAAAAAATTAAATAGTTTTTAAAAAGATAATCCATTTAAGAGCCGCATTATCTATAGGCACCAGGGCATCTTCAGCCACTGTGCTGGGAAATCTAGATTTTATGAATTAACTTTGTTATTTTACAATGAAAACAAGTTTATATATCTATATCTATACCTATAGCTATATCTGTTCCCGATTCACCTTCTGTGATTCAAGGATTTTTAACCAATTTTTTTAGAAGTGAATAGTATGATTGTCTTTACCACAGGTCCTGGGGGTCCTGGGGGTCCCGTTGGCCCATCTTTGCCTGTCAGGCCCTAAAACAGATGAAGTACTCGAATTACCATTTTGCTCTTTATAATGGTTTAAAAGAAGCAACCATATCATATATATGAAGATTATATTCATTCTTATACATATACAGTACTATATAAAGCTAAACAACTAAAATCATTGTCATGTTTCCTTTTGCTTAAAAAATAATAAAAATAAGATTGTTCTGGAATTTTTGGAGGTCTTTTAAACTTAGTTCCTGTGGTTATTACCATAGGAATACTAAAGGTATTGTCCATATTTATATGGTTGTTTCCGCATAACATTTCTGTAGCATCTATCAAAAGATTCACATCTATGTTTTAACCCAAATGTTCTGCTTTTGGAGCAACTCGTAGATGTTCTTGATTAAAAATAGCTACTATAAAATTGCTGCAGGCAAGTCATTTGTGTATTGCTTCTGCTTCTGCTACACGCAACGCACAATGCACACAAACACACACTCTTCATTCCCACCTTTGCATAGTCCAGCTTCTCAGTGTTTGCTGTATAAGCATATGTGCAAAAAAGGGGATTAATCAGAAAGTGGTTTAGGGAATGAATCCATATTGCCATCTTTCTGATGAGTAACAGATGTTGAATTCCCTCTGCTCATTCTTCAAAGTTCAAAACTTAATCCCAGAAAAGTTACAGTAGGGCACTTCATAACAGAATTAGCAATATGACAGTGAAGATGATAACCTAGAGAGGTGGTGGTCTCCCCTTTACTAAAAGTGTTCAAGTGGAGGCAGATAGTGGTTAATTTGGATTCCTGCCCTAAACAGGAGGTTGGACTCCATACCTAAACGACCCTTTTCATCTCTAGTTTCTACAGTCTGCGGGTAGACTGGAGAACTGCCACCTTTAAGACCATGAAGCTGCTTGCTCCATACGCATTCTGATGTTGCTTCACGTTCCTTCAACACCAGAGCACACCCACAAAAATTCAAATTCAAAATGCATATGTTGTCTGTAGTGGTGGTGGTGGGGAGTCAATCAAGTGAAAATGGTGGACGTAGCCAGGCAATGGAAGCCCTGCCCCTTTTTATCATGCGCCACATGCATTGCACAGATTTAAAAGGGGCAGAGATACCCCTGATTAACACAGAGCTGAAAGCTAGATTGGCTTGAGAACACAAGAGATTTTAGCAATGTGAGAACGCTATTCCCATACCCGAAGGTAAACATACCGTGCACGTACTATTCCGGCAGGAAAATATTCTTTGACATGATGGCCAACAATACTACCTTTATTCTCCAAGTGGCTCTGAAACTAAGAGGCTTCGGGATTGTAAGTTTACAATGTAGTTTTAGATTTATAAACTTAGAAGAAAGTTATGAGATGAAACTTATGAGCTGATGCTTATGATACATGCCCATTGCAACGTGTTATTTGTCTTAATGACGGAACTGGGAATACATTTATGGCAAAGAATTATTTCTCCTCCCCCCTATGATTCCTGAGGGGGAGAGAGAACGGGAGAGAGAGAAAGAGAAAGAATGCAGGATTTGATAATTTGAACAGAATCATAGCTAGGAGGCCAGTTTTTTTAAAAAACAAACCCCTATAAAATGGTTCCCTGTCATCTGAACAAAACTTACATCTATGTAACATGCTTAGGACAAATACTTTTTGGAATAACAAAGTTTTTCACCCTGTTACTAGATGCAGTTAAATGCAGACTTAGAATACTAAAGGCCAAACTCCTTGAGTTTTTAAAATATATTAAGTGAAAACAGATTTCTGACACTATTTCAAATCAGTCTTAACTGCAATCTAATATGCCATTGAGTATATTTTATAGTTTGTGCAAACCATCAAGAAACCAATCCTAGCTGATCCACAGTAGAGAACTGAATTATAAAATTGATGGAGCTCGCAGAAATGGCAACAATGATCAGTTTGGTTGGGGAAAAAACAATTAAGACTTTTTTAAAAATCTCTAAGTGTTATATGGTCTTTTTGCTGAAAGAAGAAAAGACAGAACTGATGATTTATGGACCTGGGGTGAGGGAGGGAAGGAGGAAGGAAGGAAGGAAGGAAGGAAGGAAGGAAGGAAGGAAGGAAGGAAGGAAGGA